GCATTTCTGTGGGCATGGGTGGTCCTGCTCACTCTCACCTGTCTGTGTCAGCTGGAGGGTTCCTTTTTCACTCTAGTTCTTCTGATAGATGTTTCTTCCTTAGCGGGGAAGTGGTTAAGGTAAAAGACACTGCCTCCTGTTTGGTGCCTTGGGGTACATTGGGCAGGAGCTTCTCCTTAGTCCCCCATCATAGCTCCAGGCCTCCTGCAGGAAGACCTCTTTTGGGGAAGTGTGAGGGAGGGAGGTGGATGGGAAGGTTCCCAGGAAGGCTGAATGGGGGGAGGCTTGCCTGGGGAGAACCTCTCTTCCTAGTCTTAACTCTTCTGTCCAGGCCTTTGTCCTGACTGGATGCAAGCCAGAGCCAAGAGCTGCACTCCGGGTGCCCGCACTAGCCTCCAGGAGGGCTACTCCTGTCCATGGGGGTAAAGCATTGAGTAGGAGGAGGGCCAGGGATATCATGTGACCTACAACCACTCCCTGAGTTTGACCCCCACTTGTGGGCCAGGAGGCAGTGGCTGCTGTGCTTCTGTCTCCTGGAGCAGGGCCACCAGCCTAGCTTCCAGAGGGAACCACATGGAGGCCCACTAATCAGAGCATTTCTGAGTGCCTGGCCTCCTGGGGACCAAGAGTCTGAGCAAGGTGGGTGTTGGCTGAGTTGGGGCAGCACCCAGCAGAATTAATTGGGAGTGGAGTTCTCTTTGGCTTTCTGCCTTAGCAAGGATCACTTTCATCTTAAAACTTCCTCCAACATGTCTTTGAAAAGATGCTGGCCAAAGCATGCTTTCCTGCCCTTTGTGGGGTGTTAGGAAGAGAGGCCTCGAGGCGACTCTGTTCCAGTCTCCCCACGAGTCCCCAAGGCCATGTGGACTGACAAAGGGCTCCACACTAAGGCAAGTGGGGCCTCACCTAGCACAGGATTGTGGTCCCTTGGTGAGTGCTTCTTCAAGGGTCAGGGGGCAGCAGAGGTCCAGGAAGCCACAGGCCCTGCACTCTTCAGTCCTCATAGACTATTTAGCTTATGTGTTTGGGGGGCAGGTAGAGGGATAGAGGATGCACAGGGAAGGGCACCTGAAGGGTATCCTTGGCCTGGGGCTTAAGCCACCCAGCCAGGGAAGAACCAGTTGGGACAGGAACCTGTTGCCACTGTGGCTCTCTACCCTCCTGAGTTACTTCTCGTTTGCTCTTGGGTTTAGTGCCAGTTGGGAAATTGAGGTTGAACCATCACCCCTGGGTGGTCATGAAATCATGAGTGGGATAAGGGATACCTGTGCCCAAGACTGCAGATAACAGTGTCTCTCCATCTGTATTGGCCATTGGTTCCCACCTTGTGGGGAGGTCAGAGTGGGTGCTAGGGTGTGAAGATGAGAAGCCCAGTCTTGTCATGTGAGGAGCATGTAGGGCAGAGCACAGAAGCTCCTGGGTGGTCCTGAGGGACACAGCGCATGGAAAGGGCAGGTGGCTGGGCATATAGCAGTGCCCAATAAATGTTAACTGGTGGTGTTTCCTGGAGGGAGGGGGAGAAGGCATCTGCTGAGCTGCTGAGACAGAAATATTCTGTAAAAGCTTCTATCTGGAGATTTGTCTGTTTCATTGAAAGTGAATTTTACATACAGTAAGTGCCCAAATCTTTAGTGCAGCCCTTGTGAGCTTTGACCAGTTCATCCATCTTAACCCAGATTCCCAGCAAGATAGAGAATTGTCCCAGAAAGCGCCTTGTTCCTCCCCCACCCCCACAGTCCTCACCTCACCCTGCATAGGTGTGGTTTTTACCATGTGTCAGTTTTGCCTATTTTAGGACTTGATGTAAATGGAGGCACATAGTCTGTACTTTTGGTTGTAAGCCTTCTTCACTCAGCGCAGTGATTGAGATTCAATGCTGTTTTTGCATCATTTCTGTTTGTTTGCTTTTTTATTTTTAAAAGAATGCTTATTTAACATGTTGAGTAATACAGAAATGAACCTGTGGACACTAGTTTTCCTGTAGTTCCATCCACCAAAGATAACCTCACTTAGCAGTTGGGTGTGCGTGCCCCTAAGGTATTTTTGTTTTTCACAGGATGGACTTGCTTGATCGGCTAGGGTCAGGCTGGGCCTTCCAGAGTGGCTGTCCTACCGTTAGTTGAGGGTAGATAGGAAAGGTGCAACTGGGAGATGGATGGGGGTATGGGACTTGGGGAACTCTTGCTGGCCCAGCTCTGTAGGCCTGGCTTTACCTTGGGTGTGTGCAGCCAGTTGTTTGAAAGGCTGGGGCGTCTCAGTACTGTTCTAGTCCCTACTGGGGCCTGTCTTCAGTTGGGGAGGGACACACCTCTCTGGTTTTTCTGTGACAGGTTATGGGAGGAGAAGGAAAGAACAGGTGGTTGTTGGCCATTCCATAAACAACATCATGCACCTGATATCTAATGGAGGGCCTGGGAAGGTAAACCCAAATCTTTGTTTTTTCCTCCATCCCTTCCATATTCCCAAGAGAGAGCTGGTCTGCCCCCCATCAACTAGTGTTCCTCCCCTGCCTTATTGGGGCCCACCTACCCATAAGGGAAACTGGAACTGAAGGGTCCTAACAAAGGGAGTAGTTTCTGTGCCACCCCTTCCTGCCCTTCCCCCAGGCTTCTGAAAGCTGTTTCCCTGGGAGGGGCCAGGTCAGAGCCTTGATAGCCCAGGCCTACTGTCCCACTGCCCCAGATCCTGGGCATCCTGGGAGCCAGCGTTCTGGGCGGGCAGTGGGCCAGGGCTGGGTGTGCTCTCTTGAGGTTGATAGGCATGCTGCCTGGGCCTGCTGCCAGGGCCTGCTGGGTGCCAGGCGTTGTCCTCATCCCAGTCTGTGGTCAGCTTCTGCCAGGGCTGGACAGCAGCCCTCGGACCCAGCTTCCTGGGCCAACCCCAAAAGCCTTGTTTCTAGTTAGCTGGCATGCCCCCAGACTGGGGCCTCTCCAGGGAGGTGTTTGCTGCTCCATGCCCAGCAGCAAATGGGTAGGATAGAGCTCTCTAGCTGTACTCATTTGGGTTGGGGAAGGGCACGCTGGAGGAGCCTGGGACCCAGACCCTGATGCTCAACCCCACGTGCCAGGGCGGGACCTCAACCTAGTCCCCAAAATAACTGATTGCACACTCCCCCAGGATAGGGACCCTGACCCCCCCACAGGCCAACATCTACCCTCCCGAACTAAGATAGACCCTTTTTGAACCTGACTCTGAATCAAGGACTCCTAGTATGCCCCCACCTCCATGACTGTTTTGTGTTCCTCAAAGTTGCTGCAGTGTTTAGATACTGCAGGCTTGGTTGGTCAGAGCTCCCAGAGAGGCCCGAACTGTTCAGAACTGAAGGAGAAGGGATGAGGATATATCACTGCTTGCAGACAGTGGTGGCTAAACTTGGCCAGCCTGGATGTGAATGGCAGGCAGTGTGGCATTATGCTTGCTGTGAACTCTCAGCGGGCAGTTCCAGCTCCCACCCCCTCTCCCACCATTCCCCAGTAGAAGGTGTAGAGAAGAACCCTGCCCTGTCCTGTTTGAGTGTCACGGCTGACCTGGCTTAGGGCCTATCCTAACCTGGGCTGGTAAAGTGCTTTGCAGGGCTGGGCAGTGGGCATCCACAGAGGAGGGCATTTCCACCCTGGCAGCACTCAGGTGTCCCCAAGTCCTGTTCTGCCACTCACTCCCTGCACGGTGTCCAGTAACTGTCTTGACCTACAAGGGCCAAAAGCAGGTATCCCTTAGTTGCAGGGTTTGCCAGGTGCTCTACCCAGCGGGACTCTGGTTGATTCTAGGTTCTGAGGGGCACTGGTTGAGAATCGGGTAGGGTGGTGGGCACCTGGTTGGTTCCAGTGCTCTGCTGTGACATCCTGTCCTGCCTTTGGTTACTCTCACCAGTGTTTCAGTGGCCTCTGCCCCCTTCCCATGGCTGACAGAGCCATCCCTGGCCTCAACCTGGCTTTAGCCCTCTTGGGTGAGGGACCCAGGCCCAGCCCTCATTAAACTTGGCTTCTTACCTACAGAGCTGGTTCTGCTGCCCTCTGGGACTTTGGTAGGCTCCTGGGCCAACTGTGGGCCCCTCCTCTTGCCCCCCTCCCCCAGGGGAACTGTGCTAGGGGCTGCAAAGACAGCTGGCAGGCCGAAGCTGAGGCCTCCCAGCCCTGGGCCGGCACCCCGGGTCTGGTCACATTCCTGAGGGACCTGCTGAGCCTCCCTGGCCCTGGGGGTGGGATGGGGGAAGGGCAGGCAGGGATGGGCTCCATGCGGCTGCAGGTCCCCTCCCCCACCCCTGGCTCCCTTCCACGGTTGTCCAGGCTGGCCTGTGGGGTGCAAGGACCCAGAACTTCAGAGTGCTCCTCCTGCAGGACCCAAAGCTCCGGGCAGGAGGGATCCTGCCTTCATCTGGCGACAGCTGCTAGCAGCTTTGGCGGACTGGTATTGAAAGGCCAAGTCTGCTGCTTGGGCAAGCCCTTGGGCAGTGAAACCTCTGGAGAGGAGAGGCCATGTGGTCAGGCTGGCTGAGATGGGCTGGAGGGGGCTGGGCCCTCTGGGCAGGAGGGGGTGAGAGCAGATCTAGAAGGGAAGGAGGCAGGGGAGCCAGAAGCGGTTGAGACTGGTTCTTATAAATAGCCCTTGCACAAGTGGCTCCAGTTTTGACCTTTTGTTATGTAAATGTGGCCAGCCTGGGAAGGGCCCTGCCCAGGCTTCCTGCCACCACGCCTGTCCCCAGGAATTGTGTGCCTGCCACCAGGACCCCCAAGCCTTGGTGGCCTCTGGGGTGTCCTAAATCTCCTGTGTATGTTGGAGGGGGGAGATTTAGTGCCACTGAGCTCCCCAGACCTACTCCCGGGGTCTTCACCCTTCTCTGCCATCAGGTCTAACTGCGGGGCACTGTGGCCACTGTCTCCCGCTGGTCTGCCCCTGGGTGTCCCAGCCAGAAAGACCCTTAGACCTTTCTGGAATTGATGGATCCAGGGTCCCCAGGTGTCTCCCCTTCATTGTCCCTCCGTCCCTTCCTGGTGCCTATGTGGGTGACCGTGTCTATCTTCTCTACAGGTAACCAGGCATTGATGCACCCCCAGGAAGGCCACGTGCTCAAGGAGGCCACCCGCGCTGGCTGCTGCTCACATGGTGTCTGGGCCCCTGGCACTCCGGTAGGCTGAGGTGGGGGATGGGGGAGAGGACTGCTGCCTACTTCTCTCTAGGGCTTTTTGAGTGGTGCACACAGCCCCAAAGCTCTTGACCTGGCCTCTGTCCTGGCCTGTGGTCCTTTGTGTGCATGCAGCACTGTGCAGGATAGAGGGAGGGAACCTGACACCTGTTGTCTCTTTGCCCATTTCCTTACCAGGCTCAGGGCACCTGGCATCCTGGGCGCTGGCAGGGCTGGCACTGGCTTTCCCTGATGCTTGTTGTCTGTGGCCAGGTGTGGAAGCCATGCCTTGGGCTCTTTTGTCTCTGCCTGGCTGGCTGGAGGTACAGGGAATGGAGGAATATTGGTTCCTGAAGTCTTCAGCTTCTGAGCACCCTCCCTAGGTGCTGCAGGCTGGGCTAAGTGGAGTCCGCCCCAGGTGCTTGCTGCCTCTGTTAGGCTGTGAGTGCTAGCAGCATTTGGGGCCCTTGTTGCACCCTCATGTTCACTGTGAGCTCTGGAACCTTTGGGGGCCAGTGATTATTAGGGTTTCCCCTATCTTTTTTTTGAGTTGGAGTCTCACTCTGTTGCCCAGGCTGTAGTGCAGTGACATGCTTATGGCCACCGCAGCCTCGACCTGCTGGGCTCAGGTGAGTCTTCCACCTCAGCCTTCCAAGTAGCTGGAACTACAGGTGCCTGTCACCATGCCCGGCTAATTTTTTGATTTATTGCAGAGATGAGGTCTCACCAAGTTGCCCAGGTGTCACCAAGTTGTCCACTCTGGTCTCGAACCCCTGAACTCAGGCAATCCTCTTGCCTTCACCTCCCAAAGTGCTGGGATTATAGGTGTGAGCTATCATGCCTGGCTGTTTCCTCTGTCTTTGCAAACAAGGGCAGGCATGTTGCTGGGGAGAGCTTTTCTATCATGGTAAAGGAGGGCAGCCCTTTCCTGGGCTCTGCCCTACAGGGGGAAGGCTGGGTACTCTGGGAGGACTGGGAGGGGCAGGAGGTCCTGGGAAATAACAAGGCACAGAGGAGTTCAGAGATTGGACCCTGGACTGTGAGGGCAGAGCTGCTGTGGGCCCTGCTGCACAGTTGTTGGGCAGCCATGAGTCTGTAAGGAAAGCTGTCATCCCCTCTGGCCTCCTGCCCTTGTGGAAGCTTGTGGGACTTGACTGGGCACAGCTGGCTGCCTGGACCCTGGCTTGCCTTCCCCAGCCCTGGACCCAGTGTACACCTCTGCTGAGCTGCTGGAGCTAGGGGTGCTGTTTCCTGCAGTTGGGAGTGGGGCTTGCAACTGAGAATGGCTTTGGGCACCATCTTGGTCTCCACTGGCTGTAGTCCCTGCCCTTCCTCCAGAGGAGTATCTCCTTTCTCCCCTGGGGTCCTTTCAGGGCCCACTGTGTACTCATATGCTCTGCCCTTGCTCTCTCACTATGGGGTACCTGGTTATTGGCAGAAGAGGGCTGCTTAGTGTGCATGAGGAGCATGGTCAGGAACTCCATACTCTCAGGTGCATGCTGCTATACCAGTGGCCTTGCAGGGTTCCTGTGGAGACCGGTGGTTAACAGCAGACCTCAGTTAGAGGCTGTGCCAGTCTGTCAGACTGAGGCCAACTGGCTGCCTTTCCCTGCCCTTCTTAAAAAGGATATGGGGCCCAGGTGGTGCCAAGGTCTTGGTCAGGTCACCTTTCCCGCTTGGCACCTGGAGGCTCAGGGATGAAACACTGAGGGGTGGTTACTGGCGAGGCACAGACTCTTGAGGGGAGGCAGGGCAGCAGCAGGCTGCAGGGTCTGAGGGGCAGCACTGTGATTTGAGGCATACCTTAAAGCTCGGGCAGCTTCTGAGGTGGTTTGAGGGGCATGTCCATGCAGAGCAGAAGCTGCACACCAGAGGCCAGTAGAGAGATTGATTTGGGCATTGTAGTATTTGAAAAGGAGCCTTCATTTAGCTTTGGGAGGTTTCACCTGAAAATCTTGCTCTTTAGCTTGTCTGCACATCCAGGTGGGAACAGTCAGCTCACCCTCAGGTTGGCCTTTGTCTCCTGAATTTTTCTTTTTTTTTGAGTTGGAGTCTTACTCCATCGCCCAGGCTGGAGTGCAGTGGCATGCTCACAGCCACCCCAGCGTCAACCTGCTGGACTCCAGCGATCCTTCTGCCTCAGCCTTCCAAGTAGCTGGAGCTACAGGTGCACATTACCTAATGCCTGGCTAATTTTTTTTATTTTATTGTAGACTTGAGGTCTCACCATGTTGCCCAGGCTGGTCTCGAACCCACGGGCTCAGGAAATCCTCTCGCCTCAGCCTCCCAAAGTGCTGGGATTACAGGCTTGAGCCACCGTGTCTGACCTACTTCCTGAATTTTATAGCCACCTGCTGGTAATTTCTGGGTACCCTGCTGGTTCTGTGGCATGCGACCCACTTCTTCCAGGTAGGAGACAGTGGCTGGAGCTGTAAAACCAAATGCAAACCCCAGTTTCTCCAGTGGACACCCCATCACCCTTGGCCTCCATTTCTCATCAGTGTAAATGGGATAGTGCTTCTATCCCTTCTCAGACTGTTTGAGTCCTCAGTGAGGTGATGTGTAGGGCACCTGCACATGGTGGGGAGTGTCAATTTCCTTTCTATGCACTATGTACTCTGCCAGGGTGGTGCCGTGTGGAGGTCAGTACTGAGGCCCCTCTGAGTGCCACACAGAACTCTGGCATGATATCTTGGTCGTTAACACATATGTGCCTGTTATTACCCGCAGGTGGTGTGCGTGGGCAGGGCGCGGGGACATGGGGCCCGATATGGAGCTGCCCAGCCACTCAAAGCAGCTCCTGCTGCAGCTGAACCAGCAGAGGACCAAGGGCTTCCTGTGTGATGTCATCATCATGGTGGAGAACTCCATTTTCCGGGCACACAAGAATGTTCTGGCCGCCAGCAGCATCTATTTCAAGTCTCTGGTCCTGCATGACAACCTCATCAACCTGGACACAGACATGGTCAGTTCTACGGTGTTCCAGCAGATCCTGGACTTCATCTACACGGGCAAGCTGCTGCCCAGCGACCAACCAGCTGAGCCCAACTTCAGCACCCTCCTCACTGCCGCCAGCTACCTCCAGCTGCCTGAGTTGGCTGCCCTCTGCCGCCGCAAACTTAAGCGAGCCGGTAAGCCCTTCAGTTCTGGGCGAGCAGGGACTGCTGGCATGGGGCGGCCTCCCCGTAGCCAGCGACTGACCACGGCCTCTGTCATCCAGGCTCGTTATCCAGGGCTTGTGGACGGGCGCAAGGGGGCCCACACCCCCCAGGAGCTCCCCCAGGCCAAAGGCTCAGACGATGAGCTCTTCCTTGGTGGCTCCAACCAGGAGAGCCTGCATGGCCTGGGCCGAGGCATCTGCCCAGCTAGTGGGGAAGTGGGCTTGGGGGGCTGCAGCAGCACCAATGGGAGCAGTGGGGGCTGCGAGCAGGAGCTGGGCCTGGACCTGTCCAAGAAAAGTCCACCCCTGCCCCCTGCCACCCCTGGCCCCCACCTCACTCCCGATGACCCGGCCCAACTGAGTGACAGCCAGCATGACTCGCCCCCTGCGGCCTCTGCTCCTCCTGTTGCCAACAGTGCCTCTTACACGGAGCTGGGGGGCACCCCCGGTGAGCCCATGGATCTGGAGGGGGCAGAGGACAACCACCTGAGCCTGCTGGAGGGGCCTGGTGGGCAGCCTCGGAAGAGCCTCCGGCACTCGGCCCGCAAGAAGGAATGGAGCAAGAAGGAGCCCGTGGCCAGCTCCCCCTTTGAGCGGAGAGAAACAGGGCCCAAGGGTCCCTGCCCGGGGGAGGAGGGTGAGGGGCTTGGAGACAGGGTTCCCAATGGCATCCTGGCTGGTGGCAGTGGCCCCAGTGGGCCCTATGGGGAGCCCCCTTACCCCTGCAAGGAGGAGGAGGAGAATGGCAAGGATGGGAGTGAAGACAGTGGGCAGAGCGGGAGTGAAGGGGGCAGCGGCCACACGGGTGCCCACTACATGTACCGGCAAGAGGGCTACGAGACAGTGTCATATGGGGACAACCTGTATGTGTGCATTCCCTGCGCCAAGGGCTTCCCCAGTTCCGAGCAGCTCAATGCGCATGTGGAGACGCACACGGAGGAGGAGCTGTTCATCAAGGAGGAGGGAGCCTATGAGACAGGCAGCGGGGGCGCTGAGGAGGAGGCTGAGGACCTGTCAGCACCCAGCACAGCCTATGCCGCGGAGCCTCGGCCCTTCAAGTGCTCTGTCTGCGAGAAGACCTACAAGGACCCCGCCACACTGCGGCAGCATGAGAAAACACACTGGCTGACGCGGCCCTTCCCCTGCAACATCTGTGGCAAGATGTTCACGCAGCGCGGCACCATGACACGTCATATGCGGAGCCACCTGGGCCTGAAGCCTTTTGCCTGCGATGAGTGCGGCATGCGCTTCACCCGCCAGTATCGCCTTACTGAGCACATGCGTGTGCACTCAGGCGAGAAGCCCTACGAGTGCCAGCTGTGCGGGGGCAAGTTCACCCAGCAGCGCAACCTCATTAGCCACCTGCGCATGCACACCTCCCCCTCCTAGAAGCCAAAGACCCGAGGGCACCCTCTGCAGACTTGCCCCTCCCCCCCAGCCATGGAAGGAGAAGCAAGGAGGCAGGGAGGGAGGGATGCGACTCCTGCCTCCAGCGGGAGCTCGGGCAGCCCCTCCGCCCCAGCCTACCACACCCAGAGCTTTAATCAACAGTCTGTACCAAGTGAAGCTGAGAGGAGGGAAGTCAGTGGGCCCCAGACCATCTACCTCCATCCCCCCCAGGCCCCAGCTCCCTGTGAGGGCCACCCCAGGGCCTGTGGGAGTGGGTCACTTGGACCTCACTGGGATCTGGTCCCTTTGCTGCAGGCAGCTTGGAGAAGGGAGCAGTAGGGGACCCTTCATGCTGGCCTCAGTATCAGGAGCAGGCCCTGCCCCGCCGGACCATGTCTGTGTGTTTGCATGTGTGCTTGTGTCTGTGTGGGCGCATGTGACCCTGGCCCTGCAGGGAGCAGGTGCTGGGGGTTGCAGGTCTCTCCCTCCTTGAGCCAGGATAGCACTGCTCACTGGCGCTGGGACAGTCAGGGTGACCCCACCGCCTACCTCTCTACAACTAAAGAGCCCACTGGGCCTGTGTTGCTGTTATTCCTACTGATCTCTTCCTTTTTTTTCTTTTTGGTTTTTGTTTTTTAACCAAAACAAACAATAGTTTATTTTCTTCCAGGGCTGAGCCTGGGTCTGCAGACTGAATGTAACGGGGGCAGCCGTCCCTCCCACGTGTCCCCCCAGCCCTGGCCCTGTGGGGAGCGTCCGGGAGCCCCCCCTCCAGGCCCCAGAAGCCCTTCTTGCCCAAAGGCTTCCCTGGTCCCCGAGCTCTGCCTCGGCTGCCTCAGGAGAGAGAGCTTTTCCTATAGTTTCCAAGGAGTATTCTTTGTTTAGAGGTACTTTTTTATTAAGAGAGAAACCAGTGTGACGTTTCTGTGACTGAACTGGAAGGTCTGGGGTTCTGGGGGTGGGGGGGCTGGACTCAGTGCCAGAGCCATCGGTACTCTCGGTTTTCATTTTCTGTGTGTGTGTGTGGTGTGTGCTAGATGTGTGGACAGATGTTTCACTTTCCCTCCTTCCTCACCAAACAAGGTGGAGAGACTTCTGACCTTTTGCTACCTCTTGAATTCATGAAAACAGTATATTGGTGACTGGCAGTTGAGGTCTGGAGACTTGTTTTGTCCCATTGGTATACCCAGCAAGCCATGCATGGGAGTGATGGGCCTCGGGCTGGCCCAGGGGGCCCTCTTGGGCCCTGCACTCGGTTGGGGTACCCGCAGCTCACATGTGTGTTTCCCCTGTGAGCATCTGGCCACATCTACCCTATGGGGGTTCTGGCAGCCCAGACACACGAACTTCTGTTCTGGGCACAAATGAGGGGTGTGACCCCCAGCGCGGGGCCAGGCACCAGGCACTGAGTGACAGGCAGCTCTTTGCAACTCCTGCTAGGGCCAGGATGAGGTGGAAGTGAGCCACCCCCCATCCTGCACCCTCGCAAATGCCTACAGGAGTTTGAGGTTGGGAGAGCAGCGGCCCTGGCTGGTTGGGTAAAAAGTGTGGGGAGGAGCTGGCCACAAGACTCTACCCCCAGGAACAGGGCTTGGCATCTCACTGAACGGTCCTGGCCCTGGCTGCTGTCCCACCCCTTGCCCCTCACCTTAAGCTTTCTCAGCCAGTCTCCATGGGCTCCAGCAGGGTTCATAAGACTAGACCAAGGTCGCTGTGCTCAGTTCCACTGTCAGCAGCCAACTGGAGCCGCAGGGCTGAGCCAGCAGTCTTTATCTTCGTTTTGCATCATGCTTTCATTTCTTTCTTTCTTTTTCTTCTATTTTAAGTTTAGACCAAAAAATTCCAGTCATCTCCTACTCCCACCCCTCCAGAGACCCTCTAGCTGAAAACAGAGTCCGAGTTCAGGGACCTGAGTGGTGAGCAGTGTGTTTTGGGAGCGAGGGGGCTTGGGTCACACCAGGGCTCCTGGCTGAGCCCTTGCTATGGTGACCTCAGACCTGAGATGGCTTCTCTTCCCTCTGGATGGGCAACATAGAACTGGACCCTGGGTCTGAAGTTCTACAAAGTCAGGCTGGGGACCTGTGCAGAGGAAATCCTAGGCTTCATCCCTACCCAATGAGGGGCGCCTGCTGCCCCACCCCACTCCACTCCATCAGCACTTAAGCCACACGACACAAAGTCTGTACCGTATGGGAACTGTACATGCGCCTGGCCATGTACATGGCCTCCCAGGCCATGGGCAGCCGCATCTGTGAGGTGACTTGTGAAAGTAGGTGATTCCTTTGCAGAATTTCAGGGACTGGGAGCAAAGGCCCCCTCATTCAATGACGTTTGTGCGACATAGTATTGTACCCACCTTAGTATTGTATCAAGCCTTTTCTGTATTTTAACAAGAAAGCAAAACACTAGTTTCCTATTTAAGATTTTAAGGGTTTGTGGGGTAGGGTGGGATTAACACAACACTTGGTTTTGTTTTCTTTTTCCTTTGATTCCATGTCAAGTGTGTGCTTGCGAGTGTGTGTGTGGAGATGTTAAGAGCCTCATAAGGAAACTGGGCCATTGGAGGCCAAGGCGGCTTACAGTTCTCTGTTTTAGTCACTTAATTCCTGAATGTTTCGGAGAAACAGGAAACAGAAAATAGCAGATGTCATGTAGGAAGGAGGATTAAAAAAAAAAGAAGAAAAAAAGCTCATACCCAAATTCACAAACCTATTTTTTAAACCAAAGCACATTTTGAATGAGTATGGAACCTCAATGGGCTCAGAAAAAAGATACTAATATATTTATCTCATTGTTTACATAAGCTTTTACAGTTTCAGACCTCAGCAGCTGTAAGGCCAGTCCCAGGGAATCCTCACCTTCTGCTGGAAGCCCTTCTGAGTCATCCCTGGAGTGGCTCACGGACAGAGGGGCAACCCTGGGGGCCAGGGAAGGGGCTGGAAGCCTCCTTGGATTCACCTGAGCCCTTCCTGGGGCCTCTCCAAGCCCAGCTGGCACCAAAGAGCTTGGGCCCGTGCTGACCAGCCCCCAAGGCCTCCTGGCCATACGGACCACAGTGGTCCTGGCCAGCTGGCATACCAGGGGGTGGTTGTCAGTTCTGGCCACAGGACCTGAGTCTGGGCTTGGGTGCCCCTGCTGCTCTGCCCGTGACCCTTGGGGGTAGGTTGTGAGGGTCCCACTCAAGCCAAAAAGCCGGGACCTTTGCACAGCTCAGTTGACTCTGGCAGGTCCCCACCCTGGGGAACCCCTAAATCCTCAACCCCACCCCAGGCAGCCGAAGGGGCTGACTGGGCCTGGTCCTTACCAACACAGACGGTGCAAACACTCTTAACAGTGTTGTTTTTGTATCAATATGTTTGTGCAGTGATGAATGTATTTATTTCTCAGACTTGGGGCAAGCAAGTGGGCGGTAGGCTGGGCTCCGCCACTGCATGCTCCTGCCGGACTAAGCCCAGCAAGGGCTCCCCCAGGATTGCAAAAAAAAAAAAAAAAGAAAAAAGAAAAGACAAAAAGAAAAGAAGAACCTTTAAGCAAATAAGAATCTCAGAGACTCGCAGCATAGCCATACACCTCAGCCTGTGAAATGAACAATCTGGACCCACACTGACTTTCCCGACCTCACGCAGGTGTGCGTGTTTCCTGTTCATCACCACTTGGGGGTCACTGGGCCACCCACCCACTCCCCCCACCCCGTCAGTGTTCACTGGATCTCAGGCCTGTGCAGGAGTGCGATCTGGGTTGGGCCGCCGGGCTGGCAGACCTACCTGCCCTCCCGCACGTCCTGCGTAGGGCAAAGCCTGGGCAGCCAGAGGACAGGGCTCAGGGAGTGGGAGTCTGCATCCGTCCACCCCCTTGGCCTGGGGGACAAAAGCCAAAGGCACCAGGCCTTAGAAGAGCAGACAAGGGCTCTCAGCCCTGCCACGCCCCCTGAAAGGACCAAGGTCCTCCTGTTCCCCAGAATCCCGTTGGGGCAGACCCTACTGAACCTGTGAATCGGATGCCAGGAGTGAGGGATGGGGAGGGACCTAACCAGAGCCTCAGTCTGACATTCCAAGCTGGGGGATAAGTGTGAGCCATGGAATTGAGGCTGCCCAGGAACCCCTTCCTAGGATGCCCCAGCTTCAGTCCTCCCACTTTGATTTTCTACCAGGAACCCTCCCCCTACCTCACCTTGCTATTTATTGCTGTAATTTATTGACCTCAAAAATGCTGCATAACAGACCTCATGTGGGACAGGGAGGATCCCCAGGGCTCCCCCCCTCCACTTGGCGGGGCCCCGTGGGGCCAGGTGCTGAGGGGAGCCTCTCTGTATCCCACCCATCACTCACTTCCCCCTACCCCCCAGGGGGCCGCAGGTTGGGCACTGGCTCACGCAAATACCTCGAGGGGGAGGGGGGAGGGATGGGGCTATAGCTGTTTCGTTTAATTGGAACTGGAAGAGGGATCATGTCCTATTTTACACCCTTCCCAGAAAGTGGGAGGGACACTGGGATCGCACTCCTGTACACCGCCGCTGTCACTAGTCACATTGAGTTCACGTCCCTCGAGAGTTTGTATAAATTCAGGTCAGAGCTGCAGCTACGCAGCTGTCCAGTGTCATAGAAAAGTGATTCACCGACAACTGATCTCCGTTCAGAAGCGTGCAGTCTTAATGTACAGCGATGAGAAACTGTTATTTTATGATCTTTTCATTAAAAACTTGATTGAAAACTATCTGGTATGGGGGCCTTCATGTTCTGCTTTGGCGGTTCTCTTTAGCAAAGTGACAGGAGTCCAAGTCCTTGGGAGGACTTGGCATGGGCTTCTGTCTGTCACTGTCCAGTGCGCTTGGTGGTGGTAGTGGTAGGTCCTGGGCCAGGGAGCAAGCACTTCGATGTCAGCATCCTCTCAGTTCGTGTTGACCTGATTTGGCTGCAACTGTGCGATGTGTAGACAGTTAACATGTAGGCACAGGCTTAGTGGTTGAGATGAGGGCATGGTGTGCCCAGGAGCCCCGTGGGAGCAGCAGTGTTGGGGCTGAGGAGGACCTGGTGCAAGCTTCCTTCCACCCACTGCTGCTTGGGCAGGTG